TGATCTGCCTGCCTCAGCCTCCCGAAATGCTAGGATTACAGGTGTGAGCCACTGCGCTTGGCCTGACTCCAGCCATTATTCATATCCTTGATTCTCCATCTTTGAGCAGACCCTCAGATTCTGGTGAAATAGACTGATCTTCTCTCCAGAAAAAAAAAAAATTTTTTTTGAGTGTATGTTGTATCTATTATTGGGAGATTCCAGAGCCTCAGAAGTCCATACTGGACTGTAGATCAATAATTCTTCTCGATCCACTGCTTGTGGGGATGTCGCTTGTGACATCCTCTTTGGGGGCTGCTGTTTGGCAGTATCGATCAAAACATGGACCTTACAGCTGAGTCCGCTTCTCAGAATGTACACTACAGATATACTCACTCACCTGCAAACCGATATATGCGCAGAGTTGCTTTGGCAAGACTGTGTAAAACAAAAAGCTCAAAAACAATCTGACTGCGCGTCTGCCCGGGACTAGCTAAATAAGTGATGGGACAGCCGTGTGATGGAACCTAGAAGACAATGAGGACGCTCCGTATTAAACGATATGAAGCCATCTCCAAGACACACTGTTTGATGAATAAAGGTGCAGAATCGTGTGTATAATAGGCTAACATTTGTTTTTGTAAAAAGGAGGAAATATATATGAATACATTTTTGATGTATAACACAGACCATCTCTGAAAGGAGATACAAAAAAACTAGTTATATCAGGTGCCTCCTAGCTGGTGAAAGGGGTGAGAGGGAGAATTTTCTCTGGCTATGCTTTTCTACGAAGGTAGAAAAGAATGCATTAGAATATGCATTACTATTCAAAAATTAAACAAAAATAGCTTTAAGGTGCAAGGTTTATTAAATTCATACAACAGAATGCGGCGCAGTCGTTGAGAAGGATGCTCCTGAAAAATGTTTCATGACTTGGAAAAATGCACGTGATATGTGAGATGGGAAAAAAACCCACAAAATCCAATCATGAGTGATTTAAATTTTGTCCTTTTTTGGTTTGTTTTTTTTCTTAGAGACAGGGACTCTCTCTGTTGCCCAGGCTGGAGTGCAGCAGTGCGATCACAGCTCACTGCATCCTTGAACTCCTGGGTTCAAACAATCCTTCTACTTCAGCCTTCTGAGTAGCCAGGACTACAGGCGCACACCACCACGCCCAGCTAATTTTAAAATTTTTTGGAGAGACAGGGTCTCATTGTTGCCCAGGCTGGTCTCGAACTCCTGGGCTCAAGCAATCCTCCTGCCTCAGCCTACCAAAGTGTTGAGATTACAGGAGTGAGCCACCTCACCCAACCACATTTTCTCCTTTTTAATGCTTATCCGTGTTTTCCAAATTGTCCACAGTGTAAACAATTTTAAAGATCAGTAAGAGTATATTAAAAAGAAAAATATACCTTGACTTGCCTAGATGTCCCTCAAGTCGGAATCTTCAGGCCACACTGTCCCCAAACTCTAGCTCCATATATTTCTAGGGACTTTTAGACAACCACGCACACACTACAGGTTCGCAAACTCAGCTTCGTCCACTAGCCACCCCCAAGCCTACTTGCCTCTTCTTGAAATCTGCATTTCAATCAGTTAATATCATAATCATTGTCAACCGGGAATCAGTCACCCTCACTCCTTTCTGCCTTGCTCCCACCTTCTCCTCACCTCCCATTCACTGCTTCCAAACTGGCCGTGGGGTTCTGTTGATGCTGCTTCCTGTGGCTCACGGCTGGAGGCAGTCCCCTCCCCCTCCTCCCATTCCTGCTGCTCCCACCCAAGGCTGGGTCCTTCCCAGCTTTCATCAAGGACCCAGCAGCAGGCCGTGGCAGCGCCAGCCTTTCCCTGGCACAACCGAGCCATGTTTCTGAGATGCAGATGGGTAGGGTGGCCGGCTCCTCTGAGAGTTCCTCTCTGTGGTGACAC